AGGGCTTAGCTAGCACGGGTTGGCAGGGCCCTCCACAGGCCGTAGCAGGGCTTAGCAGGGATTAGCAGGATTTAGCAGGGCTTAGCAGGGCTTCGCAGGGCTTCCCAGGGCTTCCCAGAGCTCAGCAGGGCTTGGCAGGGCCGTGCAGGGCCCAGCTGGGCTTAGCAGGGCTTCGCAGGGCCTAGCAGGGCTTGGCGAGTCTTAGCAGGGCACAGCAGGGCTTATTTGGCATGCCTTAGCAAGGCTTCGCAGGGCTTAGCAAGGCTTAACAGGGCTTAGCAGTGCTCAACCTCGGACCGCGCTCCGGCCCATGCCTAGCACGGCTTAGCAGGGCTCAGCGGGGCTTAGCAGGGCATAGCAAGGGTTAGCGCGGCCTAGCAAGGCCAATCAGGGCTGAGCAGGGCTTAGCAGAGCTTAACGCGGCTCAGCAGGGCTTGGCAGGGGTTAGTAACAAGGTTTAGCAGGACCTAGCAGGGCTTAGCAGTGCTTAGCAGGGCTTAGCAGGCAGGGTTTAGCAGGGCTTAGCAGGGCTTAGCAGGGCTTGGCCTCGGACCGCGCCCGGGCCAGGGCATAGCAGGGCTTAGCAGGACTTCGCAAGGCTTTGCCTCGAACCCAGCTCGGACCACGCCTCGCAGGCCATAGCAGATCGTAGCAGCGCTGAGCAGTGCTGAGCAGGGCCTGCTTAGCAGGGCTTAACTAGCAGGGCTTAGCAGGGCCCTGCACAGGGCGTAGCGGGGCTTAACAGGGCTTGGCAGGGCTCCGCAAGCCTTAGCAAAGCTTAGCAGGGCTTAGCAAGGCCCCTCGGCCCGCAGGGCTCAGCAGGGTAAAGCGGGGCTGACCAGGACCTACCAGGGATAGAGGTCCTCATAGGTCTGGACTAGATCCTTGACATCCGTTGCGACACCCTCTCTTGGCCGTATTGGGGCGGCCACCGATGGATTTTGTTTTCTGTTTGCGGCGGGTGCTAAGTTTATCGTTCTGCGAAAACTGCCCGCCTGGAATATTGGAAAAACCGGGTGCTAAGAATAACCTAGGGGGGTGGATTTTTAATGCCTGGTCAGGGTTAGGCCCAGGATTCTCTTTTAGTTGTGTTCCCCCCCGGTGACAACTTCTGTGGGGCCCGCTGCTTTTCCCGCCCGATAAACTACGAGTTAAATTCAAGTTCGGTGGGGGAAAGAGCTTTCCGCGCATGCCCGCTCAAGGAAAATCGACCCCCCACTTCGGATCCTTGATAAAAGCGGGGTCCGCGGACCCCCGCTTTCTCCGATTAAAAAAACAAGGTGAAATCGATTTCGGCGCGGAAGGTGTGGTCCGTGCGTGCCCGCTCGACAAGTCGACCCCCCATCTCGGATCCTCGATGACGGGGTCCGCAGACCACCGTTTTTTTTATATAGAAATAAGTAAAGTCCAACGCGGCGCGGAAAGCGTGAAATTGTTGAGTTGTTGCGTGCCCGTTCGAGGATGGTGCGCCCCCCGCGCCAAAACATCGAGGATGTCTCGAGCGAGACGTTTTGCTAAACTTGAAAGACCTGGGCGCCCCAGCATGCCCCAGGAGGCCCCGGGAACGCGGACGCGGCGTATAATCTATGAAAGATCGTGGCGCTTGGAGCGCGGACCGCGCGTAATTTGCAAGGGATCGTGGCCTTTGGAGCGCGGGCGCAGCGTAATTTACAAGGGGTCGGGGCCTTCGGAGTCCGGACGCAATGTACAAGGGATCGTAGCCCTTGGAGCGCGGGCGCAGCGTAAAATACTACGGGTCGGGGCCCTGGGGGCTCGGACGCAGCGCAATTTACGAGGGATCGTGGCCCTGGGAGCGCGGACGCAGAGTAATTTTCAAGAGGTCGGGGCCCTGGGAGCGCGACCCCAATGTAATTGACGAGGGGTCGTGGCCCTTGGAGCGCGGACGCAGGGTAATTTACGAGGGATCGTGGCCCTGGGAGCGCGACCCCGGTGTAACCCACAAAGGATCGCGGCAGTGGGAGCACACACCTTGCGTAATTTGCAAAAAATCGTGGCCCTGTGAGCGCGGACGCAACCTAATTTACTTCGGATCGTGGCCCTTGGAGTGCGGGCGCAGCGTAATCTACGAGGGGTCGGGGCCCTGGGAACGCGACCCCGATGTAATCTACGCGGGGCCGGGGCTCTTTGGAGCGCGGGCGCAGTGTGAATTGTCAAGGTTCGTGGCCCTGGGAATGCGGGCGCCGTGTAATTTATGAGGTATCGTGACAGCTGGACGGGGGCGCGGCGTGATTTTGGACCTCGTCTCGGTTGGTACTGCTTCGGTTCGTCATGTCTCACTTCGATTTGTCTCGGTGTGCCGCGTTTCGGTCCGTCCTTGCTCGGTGTGTTCCGTCGTTCTTTGGATTCGCCCCGTCTCGGTTCGTCCGGTTCCATGACTGAGTCGGAACTTAAGCTCGGCAGCACGGCGCAACGCGGCGCAGGACAGCGAGCATTATTGGCACGTCTATTTCGTGCGGTGGTCCGTGGGATGTTTCGTGGAGTGTTTCGGTGGGTGTTTCGTGGGGTGTTTCGTTTGGTGATTCGTGGGGTGTTTCGTGGTTGTTCGTTGGGTGTTTCGTCAAGTGTTGCGTAGCGTGTTTCGTTGAGTGTTTTTTGTGTGTGTCGCGGGGTGTTTCGTGTGGTGTTTCGTGGGCTGTTTCGCGTTTCGTTTCGTCCAGCATTTCGCAGCACGGCACAGCGCAGCGCAGCTTCTGGCACGGTGCCATCACCATCGATTCTTCATCACTGCTAGTGCCCATCGCCCAACCCAGGTGTTTCGAAACATTTCCATGCTTCACATGTACTTATCCCTTTCCAGGTTCGTGGGTCCAGCATGGTTCTCTTTCCTGGTGCAATTTAGGCTCCAGCTTGTTAGCTGTAGCTTTGGACGGCGCGCGGCCCTTTTCCGTTTGCGCTCGCGAACAAATATGTAGCCCTTCGAGCCCATCCAGAAACGATGCCCAGACGAGTTGCCTCGATCAGGGAAGTGGGCAGCACACAGAGGATGGGCCCCTCTTAGAGCGCTCTTGGGACGCTCTTTGGCGCTCTAGGGGCCGTCTTGGGGCCTCATGGGGGTCTCTTGGGAGTTTCTTGGGGGCCTCTTGGGGCCTCCTGGGCGCATCTTGGGGCCCGCTTGAGGCGCTCTTGAGAGCCTTGGGAGCGCTCTTGGGGCCATTTTGGAAGAGATCACACAAACCAGATGAGAGCTTTCAGTTCGACCCCCTTCGGGAGCCCCAAATATCACCTCTTGGGCACCTTTTTTCAGGGCGCTCTTGGAGCGCTCTTGGGCGCGATTGGGGCCGCCGTCATGGGCTCTCTTGGGGCTCTCAGGGCCCCCCCTTGGAGCTGTCTTGAGGCCTCGGAAGGCCATCGAAGCAAAAAGGCGAGATTGCCATTTGCCTTGGTCTCACTGAGTTGTTTGACGGACTTGGGCCTCTTGGCGGCCTCCTGGGGAGGTTCCATGGCCACGTGGAGCCGTTTGAGAGCGGTCTTGGGGCCTCTTGGAGCATCTTGGGGGCCATCTGGAGCCATCGTGGACTATCTCGAGCCGTCTTGGAGGTCATGTTGGGCTCTCTGAGTCCCTCTTGGAGCCATTTTGGGCTATCTTGGACGCTCCAGCGACTCACGGAACCCCCCCTCCAGGTCCAGGGGACGGGGTCGGGTGTGGGGTAAACCCCTCCCCGAAAGGGGAAAAAGGTGGTTGGAAGAGAAAGCTCTCTAGACCACCAACGCCCAGAGTCAGGCGATCGCAAACATGGATTAAAGGGGCGTGGATTAGCGACGGGTCCCGTTTCATAGGACATCGCGGATTCTAGTGGCCGAACGAGGCGGCAACGGCCGCATTTTGGGGATGGCGCCTCCCCCGATCCATGGATTTGGCGACCGCGCGCCAAATCCATGGATCGCTAATCCGTGCTTGCGCACCCCCGAGAAGCGGGTTGGAAGGGAAAGTTCTTCAGACCCCCTGGAGTCGGCCCGGATTAGCAGGTCGACCTTGCCAGCTCAAGGGTACCCCTGTGTCCTGTGCCTCGCGACGCGTGCCGTCTTCCATTCTTGTGGCGAGGTGGCCCTCGGAAGGGTCTGGAGGAGGAGGAGGAGGAGGAGGAGGAGGAGGAGGAGGAGGAGGAGGAGGAGGAAGAGGAGGAGGAGGAGGCGGAGGAGGCGGAGGAGGAGGAGCAGGAGGAGCAGGAGGAGGAGGAGGAGGAGGAGCAGGCCGACGGGTCGTGTGCCCTCTCGCGTGTCTTGCTTCAATCCGGGCCGACTGTGCGCCCAGAGGGCCGGTGGGATCCACGCGCCGCCACCTCGGCCAAGCCCGGGGGGGCACGCGGGCCGCCCCAGTGGGGCGCCCTCGGGACGCCACCGGGAGGCCTGGGAGCGAGGGGCCCAGGCCCATTCTCGGAGGCGGCCAGGAGGGGGGCGACAGTTACGGGGGGGAGATTTTCATGGCGCCTCCCCTTGAAGAGGAAGAGGGGCCCGTGAGGGTTCGAAGTCGTTCGGCTTCCGACAACCCGGACTGGCTGCGCTCGTGGAGGGGAGGTGGTGTCTCGTACGCTTTCTCCTGAAACCTTTTTTTGAGGCACAGCCGTTGATGGCAACCAAAAAAAAACCTGGTGCCTCTTCTTATTGCACTGCGTCCCTGAACCCCCCCTTGGGCCGCGCACGTGCCGCCAGCCACGACTTGCAGCCCCCACCCCCCTTCTTGGACGCCCCCCTCTCGGCCGCCCCCGACCCTTGCAGACTCCTTGGGAGCCCAGGACCTGAGTACACGCCCAGGACCTGAGTATACGCCCACGCCGTGCCGAGCGGCACTCTGGCGGATATATATATATATATATATATATATATATATACATGTGTGTAAACTACTCAACAAACTATATACATATAGATGTATGCGTGTGTGCGTACACACGAGCATCTACGTACATGTTGGCATTCGGTTCTACAGATCAATTCACCATCGTATGTGCTTGACGGTGCACCCGTCCCTTGCTGCCGAGGTGGTCTCCCAGCTGAGCAGCGGTAGTGTTATATGATTGTTTTAAGCTAGGAGCGGCCACCGTTGCGATACACGTTGGCGGACTGTTCTTCCTGCCCTGCATAATTTTGGTGCCTGCTGCTTTCAGCGGAGTCATGTCTGTTCATCATTATGTTCCTCGCTCAGTTTGACCATTCCCCTCGTCCTTCTTCCTAGGAGCCTATAACACTCGTAATCTTCAGCGTATTTTTTTACTCGACGCGGATCTCCCCATATGTGCATCGCATTTCTTGGCACGTCCCGTTGTGAGTGTCTGGCGGTGAGCGTCTGGGTGTGAGAGCGAGTCCGAGTGGACGCCGAGTGCCACGACGGCGGCGGCTTTCTGAGGGACGGCGGCGACAGCGACTCACAGACAGACAGTAAATAAGCAGGCACCCTCACCTCTCCTCCCTTCTCCTCCTCGTCGTGATCCCTTCTCTCCTCTTCATCCCTCCTCCTCCTCCTCTCCTCCCTCCTCCTCCTCCTCTCCTCCCCCCTCCTCCTCCTCCTCCTCCTCCTCCTCCTCCTCCTCCTCCGTCCTCCATCTTCCGTCCTGGCGGCCGTCCTTGTTCCTACATCGAAGTGATCATGGGGCTCTGCATGGACAGGAGTCGGAAGTGCAAAACCATGCACCTCGCTTGCTACGTCGCCCCGACTTGGCCGCAGGGAATGTCGAAGCCAGCGCATCGCTCGAGACATTCCTCACAATCTGCTGTGGAGGCACTGGGGTCCAAGCCATCGAACAGGCAAACCTCACGAGACATTCCCAAAGGTTGGGCGCGACGGGCTCGTGAAAGACCATCTGGCGCTTACCCCCCCCAGCTGTGGGGTTCTGAAACCAGCGCCTCGCTGGGATATTTTCACACGTCCCCACGCTCTTGTTGCGGACGGGGCCGCGCGACGAAAGATCCCGGCGGCTCCCCACTCGGGCGGCTGAAGCCAGAGCCTCGCTCCCGGCATCCGCACAATCTGTTTGCATGTCGAGAATGCAGAAAGTCCAAGCCACCGAGGAGAGAGACCGCCCAAGGCATCCACACAGCACGGGCGCGAGCAGGCTCGTGAGATGCACCCTGGCCCTTGGCAGCACCTCCCCTTGGCGTCGAAGCCAGCGCCTCGCGTGAGGCGTGTTCCCAGGGTGCTCTGAGAGCTCTGGATCGAAGAAGAACACACACACAAGCAAAAGCTTTTGGCGCTCCTCGCGGATTTCTTGGATCCGCGCCTGGGCCCCCCGGTGGCGCCGCCCCTGGCGCGCTCCGCGCGCCAGGCTGGGGGGTCCAGCGCGGATCCCAGAAATCCGCGCGGTGCGCCAAACGTTCATGTTATGTGGTGCCCAGTCACCAAGACCAAGGGGCCACCAAGTCACCGAAGGGGCAGCCCGCATGAGTCAACCCCACGATGTGGGCGCGAACGGTCCCGTGCAATGCCCTCTGTCGCCCCCCCCCCCTCCTCCTCCTTCTCCTCCTCCTCCTCCTCCTCCTCCTCCTCCTCCTTCTCCTCCTCCTCCTCCTCCTCCTCCTCCTCCTCCTCCTCCTCCTCCTCCTCCTCCTCCTCCTCATCCCCCCCCCCTGGGGTGCTCAAGCCCGCGCCTCCCTCCAGGCATCCTCGCAATCTGCTCTGACCGCAGAGGAGTCCAAGCCTGAGGTCGGGTGTGTCCCTCTGCAGGAGGAAGATCCAAAAATAGTCAAACATATGCTCTGGGAATGATTTTGTTGCGTATCCTTTGACTATTTGGGGTTATGTTTGGAGCACGTCTTATAGTTCGCTCAGAACCTGCCTGTAGGGGGACATGCCCGACCTAACACAGACCGCAGAGAAGTCCAAGCCTCCGAAAAGGCAAACCTCCCGAGGCATCCCTCCAGTCCGGGCGTGAAGGGGCACGTGAAAAACGCCGTGGCGGTTCCCCCTTCGGGTGCTGAAGCCAACGCTTCGCTCGAAGCATCCTCACAGGTTGGGTGTGAGGCGAGCTTGAGTGTGAGTGGTCTCTGTGAGCGGGTCGTGCTGTGAGTGTGATTGTGAGTAGTCTCTGTGTTGGGTGTGAGTGTTTCTGATCGCGTGCGAGTCTGAGGGTGAGAAGTCCGTCTGGGTGTGGGTACGAGTGAGTCTGAACGTGAGCTGCTTGTGTGGGAGTTTGAGCATGAATGATCTGAAGGTGATGAGACACAGAGAAAGAGCGAAAGACGCGGGAAGTGAGCGAGAGAAAGAGAGAGAGAGAGAGAGTGACAGAGAAGCAGGCGGAAGGGAATTGGTGAGGAGGCGGGGGCGTCCCAGTTACTCTGAAAGCTCTTGAGACCCTGAGGGAACAGGCAACCCGCCTGAGAACACGCCACAATTTTGCCGCGAACGGGCGCGTGTAACAACCCCGGGCGTCTCCCCCTTGGGGTGCTGAAGCCAGCGCCTCGCTCGAGGTATCCTTACATTCTGCTCTGACCGCAGAGATTCCGAAGTCACCCAAGAGGCAGACAATTTTTACTGGGCCAGGGAGCTACACCCTGGTGGCTCCCTCCGGGGTGCTGAGAGAGCAAGGGCCCCCTCTTGCCGTGCTGAAGCCAGCGCCTACCTCGACTCGTCCCTACAACCTGCCCGGAGCGCAGGACAGCCCAAGCCACCAAGCAGGCAAACCGCCCGAGACGCCCCCATGATTTGGCTACGAGCGGGGACTCGTCACACCTCCTGGCGGCTCCTCCTTGAGGTGCCCAGATGCCACGCCCGCCATGCCGCGGCGGCCACGGGGCGCTCCATGACAGGGAGTCCGTGCGCGGAGGCCCTCCCTTGGCGTGCCGAAGCTGGCGCCTCGCTCGAGGCACCCTCACAATCTGCCCTGGGAGCACAGAAGCCCAAGACACCAAGCAGGGACACCGCCTGAGACGTTCTGTCCCTCTACAGGGGGGATGTTCCAAGATAGTGCAAACACAGTCAGGGGACGATTGGTTGATCATTGTTTGACAATTCTGGGGCATTTGGGGGGTATCTTTTATTGTTCGTCACAAATCCCCCTGCAGGGGGACACGCCCGACTTAGTGTTATACCCCATGGCGGCTCCCCCCTGGGGCGCCCAAGTGCCACGCCTGCTATGCCGCGGCGACCACGGGGCCCTCAACAGAGAGTGAACAGGCAGTCCCCTTGAGACATCACCACACTGGGCGCGAATGGGCAATTGTGAAACCCCCTAGCGGCTTCTTCTTGGGGGCACCACGTGCCACACTTGCTAAATCGTTGTGCCTCCGGGCTCTCAGCAGAGAGTGCCTGAGTGAGTCTACACGCGCGTGAGCCCGAGAGTGAGGGAGTGCGAGTGTGGGCAAACTTGTGTGCGATTCTAAGTGGGTGTGTGTGTGTGTGTCTGTCTGTCTGTCTGTCTGTCTGTCTGTCTGTCTGTCTGTCTGTCTGTCCGTCCGTCTGTGTCTGTCTGTGTCTGTCTGTCTGTGTCTATCTGTGTCTGTCTGTGCTGTGTGTCTGTGGCAATGCTGGGTATGAGCGCGATCAAATGAAAGTGAATCCGTGTGCAAGTGGTTCTGAATGTGAACGGGTCTGAGCATCCGTGGGGCTGGGCGTGTGAGTCTGAGTGCTGAGTACGGCTACGTTGAATATGAATAGGTATCTGTGCGAATCTGAATGGAGTAAGTCTAAGCATGAGTGACCCGAGAAGAGGCAGGCGGGAGGAGAGGAGGAAGAGGCGGAGGCATCACACCAATATCAAGAATCCCATACTTGGGATATGGGGAATCCAACACCATGCCTAGATCCCCCGTCCCCTATCCCTCTTCCCTCTCCTCATCATGAACCCCATGCAACTCCTCACGACCAAACAACGGCATAGAACATGACGATTCCCTTCCTCTTCTGTTGTCTCCCCAACTCCATCATTATCCCCCCCGTGGATATGAGATGCGGAGGAGGAGGAAGAGGAGGAGGAGGAGGAGGAGGAGGAGGGTACATGAGGACCAGACTAATCAGGAGTACGACGAGTTGGACGGTGGAAGCGGGCGGGTGTCTGGAGGAGAAGGGATGAGCATAGAGTGGAGGGGCAGAACAGGAGCAGGACGACGACGAGGGGAACCACATCAATGAATGGAGGAAGAGGAGGAGGAGGAGGAGGAGGAGGAGGAGGAGGAGGAGGAGGGAGAGGTGAGCAGGACTAGGAAGGCGGGGTGTAAGAGGAGAAGGAAGAGGAGGAGGGGGAGGAGGAGGAGGCTGCGCAGGGAAACGACGGAATAAGGTGAGGATGCGGAGGTGGACGAGGACGAGGAGGAGGAGGGTGAGTAAATGCCGAAGAGGAGACGGAGTAGAAGGAGGATTGGGGATCGAGGAGGGCAAAGGAAGACAGACGAGTGGAAAGTTTGGCTGCGACCATGGTTACGCAGTAGGACAGGGAAGAGAGAGAGAGAGATCTATATATATAGAGAGAGAGAGAGAGAGACAGGCGTTGGAAGAAACATGACGACATGACGAGACACGACTGGGACGACGAAAGTGACGACGACGTGAAAGCTGGCGACGGCAAACAAAGACGAGACACGCAAGTAGCTCATGCCCTCGTCATGAACATCATCATCATCAGCAGCATTCTCATCATCCTGGGGGATCATGCAAAAGGATTGGGGACAAAATTGTTGGACTCCAGCCAGCCTTTGCCTTGCAGCGTAGCGGATGCCAATTTGCTGCAAACAACTGCAGATACAGCTGGTCCTCCGCGATTCCAGAGGATTCTGTATAGCATGCCATTGGGCGGAGCTCAATCATGACAGTTTTGAAGCGGCGAGCTGCGGGGGAAGAGCAGGAGGAGGCACCAGGGCGGCAGAAGCATGACGCGAATAGGTTACCGGCCTGAAGTATATCCCTCTTCTTATTGTCGGTGTCACCTTATCTGGAGGCCGGGCGTAAGGGTTCCTTCAGTTTCTTAGGGCATCTCCCTCAGATTGTCACCAGCTTGGGCTTGCCAATTTAGGGGAAGTATTTGGCTCGAGGCTAGTTAATTGTCTGTCCGCGATATCGATTGGATCGAGGAGGCTGTCCACGATTCGATTGATTCGGGATGTCTGCCGATTTTTCCGCTGCGTTTTGGCATCGATCTAGTCCATTTCGCATCCTCTCCCTCTTCTCCGCGGATGTACGGTACGTAACCGTAGGTTTGTGCCCTGTCGACGCGTTTGCGAACCCAGCGCGGGCGTTTGAGGCTCGACGCCGCCGGTGGCCCAGAATCGGCCAACATGGACCGATCTGGCGATCGAGAAGCCGCCGATCGTTCAAGGTTGAGCGAACCACGTGGTGTCAGAAATCCGAGGCGGGAATTTATCCATGACCACCGCCTTGGGGGTCGAGCTTCGCGGACCTTCACAGGCGGTGGATATGGATACGTTCGGGCCCCCGGGGGCCAAGATATATCCATATCCGCCGCCCGCCGGGGCACCAGGACGTCGGTTCACAGGCGGTGGATATGGATAAATTCCCGCCTCGCAAGAAACTAACGCAGGGGTCGTTTCGATCGGTTCGATCGTGCTAAAATGGTTCGATGCATCTGAGAAAGACCGCAGATTCTGCTTAGCACAGAGGGAGATAAGGAGGACCGGCTCGGTCAGGATGGCGGCGCCCCGAGGAGGGGAATGAGCTGGAGGAGGAGGAGGAGGAAGAGCAGGAGGAGCAGCAAGGAGGAGGAGGAGGAAGAGACCGAGGAGGAGGACGAGGACGAGGACGAGGACGAGGACGAGGACGTGGACGTGGACGTGGAGGTCGAGGAGGACGAGGAGGATGAGGAGGACGAGGACGAGAAAGAGGACGAGGAGGAGGAGGAGGAGGAGAAGGAGGAGGAGAACGAGGAGGAGGAGGAGGGGGAGGTGCAGGAGCAGGGAGAGGAGGAGGTGGAGGAGGAGGAGAAAGAGGAGGAGGAGGAGGAGGAGGAGGAGGAGGAGGAGGAGGAGAGGAGGAGGAGGGAGGAGGATGAAGAGAGAGGAGAGAGGAGAGAGGAGAGGAGGGAGGAGAGAGCAGAGAGAAGAGAGGAGAGAAGCGAGAGGATAGATAGGAGAGAGGAGAGACGAAAGAGGAAGGGAAGCGGAAATGCGAGGGGGAACAGCAGGAGGAGGAGGAGGAGGAGAAGGAGGAGGAGGAGGAAGTCTGGGGCAGGCGGGACGGCAGTGGGAGGAAAGCGCACGCGAAGGAGGGGGGGGAGGGGAGGGCAGCAGCAAACCAAGGGGAGCACCGGGAGGGGGAAAGCGAAAGGGGGGGGAGGCGACGAGGGGAGGAGGAGGAGGAGGAGGAGGAGGGAGGAGGAGGAGGAGGAGAAGGAGGAGGAAGAGGAAGAGGAGAAGAGGGACGGAGACGACCACCACACGACCGACGACGACGACGACACCAGGGGGAGGGGAGGAGAGGAGGAGGAGGAGGAGGAGGAGGAGGAGGAGGGGAGGAGGAGGAGGAGAGGAGAGAGGAGGAGGGGAGGAGAGGAGGAGGAGGAGGAGGAGAGGGGGGAGGGGAGAGGCGGAGGAGGAGGAGGAGGAGGAGAGGAGGGGGAGGAGGAGGAGGAGGAGGAGGAGGGAGGAGGAGGAGGAGGAGGAGAGGAGGAGGAGAGGAGGAGGAGGAGGAGGAGAAGAAGAAGAAGAGGAGGAGGAGGAGGAGGAGGAGGGAGGAGGAGGAGGAGGACCAGGACGAGGACGAGGAGGAGGAAGAGGTGGGAGGAGGAGGACGAGGAAGACGACCACCAGGGGGGGGAATGGGGAGAAGGAGGAGGAGGAGGAGGAGGAGGAGGAGGAGGAGGAGGCGGTCTCTGTCTGCCCTGCGCGGCCCCCACCCTGGCCGCGGCTGTGGCGCTCCCTGCCACCTCCCGGCGCCCCGGCGTCCCGGGGTGGGGGGCCTGCGCGGCGCCTTTGGTCGGGCAGGTCGGCCCATGTTTGGCGACTTCCGCTGGCCAACCTCGTTCGAAAAACGTTTAGGTGGGCCTCCAAGGCCCTTCCATCCTTACCGCGCATCCTTCTGATTAAGATTGACTGTAGGGGGGGACGGGGCATATGGGGGGGATGCAACGACCCCCAATCGCCCATTCATCGATAGGGGCCCGATAGTCCCATTCCACCAAGGAAGGTGCGTGTTCGCTCTCGAGGGCCTATCCCCGATCGATCGGCGATGTACTGCCGATGTACTGGCACTGGGGGGGATGTATCTCCGATGTCGATGCATCCCCCCCAGTGCCAGTCCCCCCCCCTATCTTTGCTGCTCAGGTCACGGGTTCAGCGCAAGCGGGGCACAGCCAGAGCGCCGGATCTTGCAGGATCCAGCGAAGCCAGAATGGGTCCGAATTTGGCTTGGGGGCTGCTCGCGACCACCTGAGTTGGCCTTGCATGTCATTGGCATTGGCTGCGCTTGGTTGCTCGGGCTTCCCCCAAGCAATTGCAGCGCATGCTTTCTGAGTTGGCTGAGCTAGGCTTTAGCGCAACCTCGCTAGTCCACGCCCGAACATCATCAACGATCCCATGTGGAGAGAGCGCGGAGTGGAGAACCCTTGGATCTTGGCGCCGTGTGCTTTTTAGCAGAGAGCGGGCGACTTTGCCTTCACGGATCGATGTGGCTCCGGGACCCTCACGGGTCGATGCGGCTCAAAAGCATGCCGCAGACAGACGAGTCAGGTCCGGGGTTTTGGCAGATGTTTGTAGCGGTGTTCTGCTTTCTCGCCCGCGGCGGAGTTCTATCCATAGCCACCGCCTAGGGGTTCGATGTGTTGCGGGCCTCCACAGGCGGTGGATTTGGAAAGGTTCGGTGGGCCAATTCAGAGGCTCCAAGAACAGCCCAAGAGAGCTGCAAGAGCCGTCCCGAGAGAGCCCAGATAGGGTAAAATCGTTGATGTCCAATGGTTTCTCTCATGTGTTTCGCATTCTCACGTTTTCCCAGCTTCCAACCCTCGAAGATCGAGGATTTCAAAAACAAAGGGAATTACCAGACTTCCCTTTTTTGTTCAAAGTGGGACTCCTACTCGGAGGTCCTACACATCCCCTGACATCTGGCCGGTACCGCGCCTCCCGGCTTCCCAAGGGGTCCCCCAATACGCCCAAGGACAGCCCAAGCCGACCCCAAGGAGACCCCAGAACGTCAAGAACGGCCCACCACGTTCCCGCGCAGACCGAGACACCCTTCCGACGGCTCTCCAGGCCTCCAGGAGGCCTCCAGAACCCCCCCCAGAGGGTCCGGAAGATCCCACACCCCTGAGGGGCCCGGCTAACAAAACCCGCGAGGCACAAACAAAAATCA